AAATTAATTTTTTATATACTGTACAAAAATAACTAGGAGGTAGCATAACATAGTAAAATGATATATACATACATATTGAAATTATCAATTAATTAATATAAACGGGGAGGGAGAAATAACTTCAGTTCTGATTTTTGTAGGTTGGTTCGTGCACTGAAGGTATTCAAGTCTGACGGTCTGACTGTTATATGTATATATATATACATACATAAACAGAGCTTTTTATTCTTTATTTGCCTGAGTTTTCTGAACTCATTGCCGACGCTAATATTAATGGATTAATGTATTTACCGGATCGTTTGAGTGGCTTATGGCTTTGTTGTGGAATATTATGATAATATTTTTAAAATAATTCCTACCTCAATTTTGAATTTATCCCATTCTCAATTAATTTAGACTTTATATTTAAAAAGTCGTAAACCTATGACTTCCTGTCATACAGTATCCTTTAACAATACCCCACTTATCCCTGTTGACCAAATCGGCTACCTAGGACTCCACCTTGACAAACGACTCACTTGGAATCCTCATACCAGACTGAAATGACTAGAAACCGCCCGACGTTTCCGACTAATTCAATACTTACTAGACAAACGCTCTAAACTTCCAACTATTTACAAATATATTATTATAATAAGGTCTATTTGGACTTACGGGATCGAGCTTTGGGGCTCCACTAAACCATCGAATTCCTCTCGTATCCAATCCCTACAATCCAAAATCCTTCGTGAAATCTTACTTTGTCACAAATAAAACCATCCATAACGACCTTAATGTACCATATGTTTCCGATTTACCTCATTCCAGATACCTGTCCTTTCATAATAAACTACTGAACCATCCGAACCCTCTCGTTTCCAACCTTGCTTCCTCTTCTATTCCTGATAACCCTCCGAGGCGTCTGAAAAGAAGATGGCCTCGGTACCTTCTAATATAGACATATAATTGGAGTGCTACCAATGGGTAGTTTCTCCTCATGTTGTACATGTCATATTACTTGTTCATATTTACTTGTTGTATTTATTATTAATTAGAGTTGTAAATTTCGTTAATAAAAACAAAAATTTAAAAAGGGGAAAAAAGGTAAATGTAATGTTAGCTATCTACAATTCCATTATCTTTTTATTTTAGATCTTATTTTACTCGAAGAGATATAATAATAAAATATAGGATGTTTTTCATCGGTATTTTTCTTTTTTTTTTATTGAAAGATTCCTCTCTTTAAAATATAATATTTCATAACAGATATTAAATAAAAACAAATTGACCTGATGCGATTCACTTCTTTACGATGGATTCACTGAGGAAAAATCTCATAACTCTTTTATACCGGCTACCGAGATTGAACCCTCCCCCCCCCCCATTCCAGTCTTTGCTTTTTGCGCCCCTAAATGAACAATTTTCGGCTTCATAGTAAACTGGAAGGCAAAATTGAATTTTCTTATTGTTTCCTTTATTAAAATAATAACTAGCGTTTGAATAAGACAGGCAGAATATTAATGAAAGGAGCTTCCTCAAAAGCTACAAATTGGACTATTATCAAGTTGTGGTTAAAAGCAGTGGCACATTGGTTAAAGGGATTCTTGTAATGTTATAAAGATAAATTTTCATCTCAAAATGTTTCAAGGTATATTTTAAGCCTTGCCTTTGTCTCTAAAATAACATTAAACCTGTTGACATTGAATATTAAGCTATGAAAAATAATAAATTAATATTTATTTTTGAGCGATTATGAATATAAACTGTCATTCTGTTTCATATCACGTCGGAGTCACCATTTAATTATAATGGGAAGGGTAAAAGGAATAATTATGTTCATCCATAAGGATCTTTATTACCAGGTCTGCATAGTCTATAGCACCAACCAAATAAAAAAAATACACCATATATTTCTTGTAGACATATAAATGTATCAAAAATAAAAAATGCAAAGATAAAAACTTGCAATTAGTTGCCGAAAAAAAATCAGTTATTTCAGAAGTCTTTATATCTTTACATATTTCCATCAAGAAACAAAAACAAATTGAATTAGATTTATTTTTCTGAAAACTGATCAAAAAAAAAAGATTTGAGTACGATTTATTTCATAAACTAAAACAATGTAAACCGGCTTAAGGTAGATCAGTGTAAACATTTCAATACTGACTAATATTGCTGTTTCTGTTAAAAGTAGAGGAAATAGTGAAGCTTGTGTGATGCTGTCAGCAGATTTCCTTACTTTCACTTAGTTATCTTTTTTCTCTCATTCACCCCTTTCTGACACCAGGATATGAACCCGAAATCTTACATTGGAAATTGAATAGCTGTAACTTCGTTAATAGTTGTCCGAAATGAACGATTTTTATATAGTTTTGTAGAGAATTTCATTACCATTTAAGAAACAGGTGACTCTTCTTCTTCATAACTTTTTTTTAAAGTATTTTCTCGAGAATTTAGTCCATATACGAAAATTGAAAGAACAATTATTAGAACATTATAGGAAAGTTTCATAAAAACCGTTAGAGCCGTTTTCACGCTACAGTCTATGGAAAAACATGTTTTTCATTTATTGCGCAGCAGCTAATGCGCATGGAGCATCCAATTTGTGTCACAGGCATCAGTAGTCAATGCCCTACAAAATAAAAAAAGAATCAACAAAATCGGCTCACTAGTTCCTGAGAAAATCTTGGCAGACAGACAGACAGACAGACCAATGGCTAAAAATGTGTTCGGACTCAGGAGGCTCTGAAACGTATAGATCCTTCAAAAACCGCATGTCAGAAATTTGACCCGATCGCAATACTTTCCCTACCTGGTATAAGTAGCAAAGTAAAAAATAAAGGGGAAGTTATTTTTAAAATTAAATCAGGATTATGTAAATTAATAGCATCGTTTCCATAATCACAGTCTTCTCTAAATAAGATTTATTATTTCTTTTTTTAGAATTCCAAAATACTTCAAGTTTATTTTCTTATGTGTTAAATTAAGTAAATTTGGAATTAATTCGGTATTCCCAGAGCTAGTTAAGAGTACAGATTAGGGGCTGCTTGTACAACAGTATATACGTAATGGAACCTTGTAACTATCAGGGCGTCGAAAGTACAATTTTAAGCTCTGCTATCAGTTCTACATTAACTCTCATTATAGCAAAGGGCAGACTTTCCATTTTGATTGAGAGGGGGGCGATATACAAAAAAAAAATGTCGTTAGTTCATATTAAATGTAAAAATTCAACATGATTATTGTGAAACCAACAAATTATATATATATATTTTTTTTATTTAATTAAATTTACAACTGTATATAAATACAGTAGATATGCACACATTAGAAATAATGACATGAACAGACTTGAAGAGATACTACCCAGTGGTAGCACTCCCTATTTAATTCTAGGTGAGAAGATCACGAGGCCATCTTCTTTTCAGACGCCTAGGGAGATTATCAGGAATCGAGGAAGAAGCAAGGCTGGAAACAAGTGGATTCGGATGGGACTGGAGTTTATCATGAAAGGATAGGTATCTGGCTCGGGCTAAATCAGCTACAGATCGAACATTAAGATCTTTATGAATGGTTTTATTTGTGACAAAATATGGGACATTAAGGATTTTACGAAGAATTTTGGATTGTACACGATTGGATACGAGAGGAATTCGATTGTTTGGTAGAGCCCTAAAGTTCAACACCGTACATCCATATAAGTCTTATTTTGGTTAAGTAGATGAGTCTTTTGTAATTAATTGAAAGTTTAGAGCGTTTGTCTAGTAAGTGTTGGAGCAGTCGCAAACGTCGAGCAGTTTCTTAATGTTTCAATTTGATATGAGGATTCCATGGGAGTCGTTTGTCTAGGTGGAGTCCTAGGTATCGGATTTGTTCAACTGGGATAAGTGGAATATCATTGAAGAGTATTGTAGGACAAGAAGTTGTGGGTTTACGATGGAGGAATAAAGGTAATTTGATGGGATTTATTGGATTTTATTTTTATTCTCCAGTTATGATACCATCCTTCATGGTTTGTGGTATGTGATTGGAGGATTTGGGATGCAATCAAAGGATCATATTAACATATAGGATACAAGTCTCATCGGCATAGGTGGTGATGAAAGTGTTACGATGGGTTGGGATATTAGCTACATAAAAGATAGGAACGAGGAAATTTAATATTTAAAAATAAATGTATATATATGTTTGGACAATTGTAGTATTTTTGTTATGTGTATTAGGATATGCTTTAACATATCTGAACAAACCATTTCGGTATATTACAATTTTGTATAAATTAAATATGAGAGGAAAAGGGGGCAGCATCTTTAAAATAGGTAAATTTCTATAACTTATTCAACTAAAAATGAATAATGTTAGTTAAATAAAATGTCTATAAAAAAACAAACAAATCATAGTCCAATAATTGGAATCACCTTTTATTTTTCTTTGTAACTAGGAAGGTAATGTTACTTTAGATTTATAATTGTCTGGAAATAATAAATCATTGTGAAATAATTTGCAGCGTTTTTTTTTTGTTTTTTTTTAAATCTATATCATAAGTAAAATTTTTTTTATCATAAGGAAGGTCAGATCATAAGGAACTTTAATATATACATATATATATATATATATATATATATATATATATATATATGTATATATATATATATATATATATATATACATTTAATATATAGCTCATATTTTTATCGCAAGTAAAATCAAGATCAGCTTTTATTCGTTATTCATTTTGGCCACTCTCTTCTCCTAATGTTCTTATGGGCTTCCCTGGTACGATAGCTTCTCTCCTATCCTAGGAGGAGTAATGGACTTTCTTCCACTTGCACACAAAGTTCTTTTGGTGGTGGTAGTTCAGTTCAGTCTTCAGCTGAAAGAACAAGTTCCCAGAAGAATAATCTAGAGGCCAGTCTCCACCAGTGAATTGTTTTTCTCTCAGTACTTTCTCACTTCGATATTGTAAATTTCCAGTTATTCCAGTAAACAACTTTCCATTAATGCTGAACTTACTGTTGCAGCCTGTAACGTGCTGGTTGAAGGCCTGGATGTCTGGACAATCCGGAACTACGGGAAGTCGACCAATTGCAGTTTGACTACACTCTACCCCGCCCAGATCAGCCTCCTCTCCCTCAGCGTAGGAGTCAGTCTTCCTGGGGACACCTTCAAGATAGAAACTGGAACGATGCGCAAGGTAAGAGTCAACATGCGTAAAGAGTGGTAACTGTTTTATTTTTAGTGATAATTAATTATATATTGATAGATAGTACATGATATGGACTATATATGTAACGAATAGATTATGTTGTTTGAATCCAATGCTATATTAATTGTGTCATGGTAATTTTACTCGGGAAGTTTTGAGGAAGTCTGGAAAATTTGTTTATTTTTATAGGGGTACCTTTCAGTTGACAGAAAGACTAACTCCAATTTCAACATTCTTTATTATTAATTTTATTGATGTTTCTAGTGGCAACATCTTTACTCCTTTATTCACAGTTCTATATTTCGACTGTAATCGAATCACCGCAATCACTGACTCTGGAATAAACTAACTCACTGTCTGTATAGATACAACTTTTCCAAGTTGAAATATCACTAAAATGACATTACTCAAAAATGTTGAAATTGGAGTTAGTCATTCTGTCAACTGAAGTTTTGTGGTTTATAAATGCAGATGGAGGGACCAGCTATTTATTGTCGATATAATAAATAGAATTTTTGTCATTATAATTGTTTTAATAATTTGTCATCTGTAAACTTTAAACCTTCGCTCCGGTTAAAATGCACTTCAAAAAGTGTATAATAGCTCAACATTGCCAGAAAATAATTTCTATTCAAAGTTGAGCTGTAAGTGAACGTTGTGTGTTGCCCGCACCAGATTTTTTATATCCGTTGTATTTATTTTTTTTATCTACTTCAAATTATATTAAATTAAACAAGATTAAATCCTTTATATTTTAGTAATATATATTTGTTGAAGCATCCGCCCATCAGTCTAATTGGATCCGGTCAAATTAAGACCATAAATAGATATCGGTGGAGAATTTTGTGGAAAAACTTTTTTTATTTTTTTTTTTTATTTTTTTTTTTATTGAGTATTATAACAATCTGTCTGTTGGACATTGGTTATAGTGAGGTAGGATGACATTCATACCATATGTACAAAAAAATAAAATAAATAGAACAAAATAATAATCAAAAGTATATACAATAGACAATAAAATAAAATAACCTAAAAAATAAGAAAATTAAAACTAAGGAAAAAAAAAAAATAACACGCATACCTATATACAATCAGGCGAGGGAACTCCAGGAGAACCCTGCGCTACTCTTCCAACCGCGTCACTAGTACTAAAGCCAGCGGAGATTGGTCGAGAGCACTTTAGCCACATACACACATGTCTTGAGTGAAGAATCTGGCCATTGCCAGAACTCCAATTTATATAATCTACAAAAGGTCGCGAGGCCACTGCCGTTTCAACCTTCTTGGAGGATTATAGGGATGGGAGATGCTTGATAGGGATTGTGCAAGAGGATTTGGGTGGTAAGTAAGGTTCTGGTGAAATTTGGAGAATTTTTCTGGGATAAGGTCTAGGACAAATGGGATGTTAAGGTCATGATGTAGGGTTTTGTTGGATACATAGAAAGGAGCATCGACTATTGTTCGAAGAACTTTAGACTGGAAGGATTGGATGCGCTTGATGTTAGAAAATTTTGCTGATCCCCACAGTTCTAGTCCGTAAGTCCAAAAAGGTTTCAGTATTGTCTTGTAGATCAGTAGCTTGTTTTCAATGGAAAGTTTAGATTTTCTGCTTAGTAGTCGGTATAGTTGGCCGTATCGTCGGTTGAGTTCTTGTCTTTTGAGTCTAGTATGCGGGTTCCAAGTAAGTCTTCGGTCTAAATGAAAGCCAAGATACCGAACTGTGTCTGAATAAGGAAGCTGGATGGAATTAAAGAGTACTGGTGGACAGGAATTGCGTCGGAGTGTAAAGGTAATATGTTGGCATTTAGATTCATTAACTTTAATGCGCCAGTTATTACACCAGTGCTCAATCAAGGTGAGGTGACTTTGGAGATTTAAGGATGCTATTTCGGGATCAGAGTTGGATGATAAGATTGCGGTGTCGTCAGCGAATGTTGCAAGAAAAGTATCGGGATGAACAGGGATGTCAGCAGTAAAGAGGATGTAAAGCACGGGACCCAAGACGCTGCCTTGGGGAACACCGGCTTTAATGGAGTAGATATTGGAAAATTCTGTTCCACAGCGAACTCGAAAGGAGCGGTCAGAGAGGTAGGATCGGAGGACTAGGTACAAGGACTGAGGTAAATGGATTTTAAGCTTGGAGAGCAGTCCGGAGTGCCATACCCGGTCAAATGCCTGTGCAATGTCCAGAAAGGCACCCGAACAGTATTCCTTGTTTTCTAGGGCTGAGGAAATATGATCAACAACTCGGAGTCCTTGTTGAACAGTAGAATGTTGAGAGCGAAAACCAAACTGATGGGAAGGGATATTTTGGGATTCTATAATGGGTAGGATTCGTTTCAAAAGGATATTTTCAAAAATTTTTGAAAGGATTGGGAGTAGGCTGATTGGTCTATAGGATGTTGAGCTATTGAGAGGTTTTCCTGGTTTTGGGAAAAGGATAATAGTGGAGTGTTTCCATAACAGAGGGAAGTGGGTGGTGCGTAGGATACAATTGTAGATATATGTAAGGAATATGACTGCTTTGGATGGAAGTTGTCGAAGGATTTGAGGTGTAAGGAGATCATGTCCAGGAGCTTTACGGAGGATTAGTTTTTTTAATTGAAATTTTACTTCGGAAGGATGAATAGCTTTTGGGGGCAAGGAAAGTGGGATTGGTGATGTAAGGAGTTCTTCTACTGTTACGGTGTGGGCAGGATGGGATTCCGGATGTGAAATAAATGTATTGGATAGGTGAATGGCGAACTCCTCAGCTTTATCTTCGTCAGATGCTGCCCAGGAGCCATCACCTCGTCGGAAAGGATGGGAAATGCGGTGAGGATTTAGGATTTTTGTTGTGGTTTTCCAAAGGGAATTGTCGCGAGAAGAGAGGGAGGATAGGTAGGAGTTGAAGGATTGTGATCTGAAGGTGGCTAATTCCAGTTTTAATTGTTTGCAGTAGTAATTATAGGAGCAGCGGTCGGTAGGATGTCGGGTACGTTGCCATAATAATCTGGCACGGCGTTTGGTGCGGATTAGGTTAAGGAGGTGTTGGGGTAGAATGGTCTTTATAGGAATTCTGGAGGAGTCTTTTGGAAAGGAGGCAGTCCAGGCGGCTTGTTGGATTGTGGTAGTAAAGGAATTTACGGCACTATCAAGGTCATCGGGAGTTTTGAGGGATATGTTGAGATCAATATTATCGGAGATTATTTGGCGGAAAAGGTCCCAGTTTACTGGGCCCCTAATGAATGACGGTAGAGAAGGTTTGGGAACAGGTTCAAGTGAAACATTAAGGATTAGAGGACTATGGTCAGAGGAAAGTTCATTTAGACATGTAATGGAACAATTGAGGGGACTTAAGCCGCTGTGGATAAAGAAATCAAGAAGATCAGGATTACGGTTGGGATCTGTGGGCCAGTAGGTAGGAGAGTTGGGGGAAAGGAGGTGAAAACGTTGGGAATTGAGTGCAGACAGCAGGGTTCGGCCACGAGAATTCGTGGTTCTGGAACCCCATTGTTGGTGCTTGGCATTTAGGTCTGCACCCAAGATGAAGTGATGTCCTAAGGAGTCGAGGAGAGAACTGAATTGGGCATTGGATATGGATCGGTTAGGAGGGCAATACGCTGATGCAAGAGTGACCGGAAAGGAGAAGGTTTTTATCACGATAGCGGTGGACTGTAGGAAATCATGTATTGGTAATGGGAGTACGTGATGGGAGAGGGATTGGTGTACAATTACAGCAGTACCGGCATGTGCTTTTCCGTCAGGGTGGTCAGTACGATATGTCAGGTATTGTGGTATATTGAAGTGCTGTTTAGTGGTTAGTCGAGTTTCAGTAATTAGTGCCACATCAATGTTCTTGTTAAGTAGTAAAGTAGATAGTTCGTCTGTATGATTTCTAACACCATTCGCATTCCAAAGGAGAATGGATATGGGTTTAGGGATGTGAGTCATTTAAGGATTTTTCAAAGGAGGGATGAGGTGAGATACGAGATTCGTGAGGAGTGATATGAGTGGAGTAACAAGGGATTTGAAATCGGTGAGGAAAGATGCTAACAAACTTGTGAGATCTGTTGCATTTGAAGGAGGAGGAATATGAGGAATTTGTTGTTGGTGGTTAGGTATATTAGGATGAAGAGGATTTTGAGGTTGGGTTTGAGGTTGTTGTTGTGGCAGGGCTTGACATTTATCGGTTAAAGTCTTACCTCTAAGTAGTTGGGAGAATGATACATCATTGTTTACAATTCTGGAAGGCTCTCTCTCTCTTCTTGTTCTTAGTGCTTCATCTTGAATCCGGTTTTTCTGGTGTCTGGTTTTGAGATTCTTGTAAATTTGGCAGCCTTTGTAGTTGGCCGGGTGTCCCTCCAAGCATAGGGCACATACTGCTGGATCTTGTATAGGTTTGGTGCACTCTACAGATTTGTGCTGTTCACCGCACTTCACGCAACGCGGCAGATGGTGGCAATATGTCTTCGTGTGGCCATAGGTCTGACAATTATGGCACTGCACGATGTCTCTCTTGGTATATGGCTTCTCAACTTTCACCATTGTGTAGTATATTCTTGTGATATCATATATTTTTTTCGATACCTGGTGATGGCTCCAAGTCCACGAAAAACAATGGTAGTGGGATCCTATTTCGTAATCCTGGCTGCTCCCTGTCCTCCTTCAAAACGTTTGTTACCTGGCGTACATTGAAACCAAGCGTCGTTAGTTCTTCTTTAATAACTTCAGTGGGGGTTGAGGAATGTAAATTTCTTATCACTACTCGTAAAGCTCTTTCCTGCCTCAGCTGGTAAGTGTGAAAATTCGCATTTGTTTCTGATAAGTACTTCACTATTTTTCGGTAGGCTTCTGCAGAATCAGGTGTTATTTTGGTGTCATTGGTCCTGTTAAGGCATGAATAACTGCCAGAGCAGATTTTATTTAGTTGGGTGCAGAACATCTGGAAATTTTTTATATTTTTCACAAATATCGGAGGAGGCTTTGGTTCTCTGGGTATTGCTGCA